TCCCCTTCCTCAACATCCCCCTTTCTTTATTATTTGTTTATTATTATTATTAATATTACCACCAATCCTTCGACGAGCTCAACTTTCGGGTAAGTCATTCTTATTTTGTTCAAATAGATCATTCATTTTGCCCAAATAGAGGTGGCGGCCGCCGCACTTGACGAATTTTCCTTTCTTCGAGATTGAGCAATAAAACATGCATTTTTGAAGGAAATCGTCCACCGCAGCCAACAGTTAAGCTACGCTGCCAAAATATTGGCTTTCCTATATACCATATAGATTGGTGGCATATATTATGTATATAACGTCATTTTACATGTAAACAAGCCAATACCCCCAAACTTTAGAAGGGAAAACATGCACCAACCAAAACTTAATTCCTTCCCCGTTTCCATAAAGTGGCTGGAAATTTACCAATTTTAACCCCCCTTAAAACATGCGTGCCCGAAAAAGTAGGGCCTTTAACCCCTTTGGGGGTTAAAAGTGGTAAGTACAACGGCACATCGAAAAAAAGGGGGGGGGGGTTAAAAGTGGTCATTTTCCTAGCCACTTTTACTATACTACTAAATTGCACATACGTCAATCATTTTTAGAGACATTTCATCGGACTCATAAAAATGGACAACAACAAACTAATGTTACGATTTGCGGGTACAGCGGCAGTGATGATGCTATTACACAAAACTTGTCCCGTTCAGTTTGGAATGATATTATTACCTGAATCTTTCTGGTAGCTCCAAATTAACCGTCGGATTTGGTATCACGGGAAAGTTGTTCCAAATGCCTTAAAGCAGGTGAAACTTGAAACCTTCAATTCCCTCAACAAATATTAAACCTTCTCCAATCTTGTCGGGTGTAAACAATGAAAACGATTTGGATTTCACAAAAAAATTTTCTGCTATGCCTTGATAAACTCTCTAAAAATCCTTTGGCGAAAATTTTTTCAATTATTTTAAGAAACCTGAAAATCATTTCCTTTAAGATTAAATAAAAGAGTTATTAAATGGCATATATAAGAGTAAATCAAGCTTCTTATTTTATTGCACAGAGTTTCAAAACAATTTGCAATTTGAATAAAATCGAGAATTTTTTCTGCTCAGTCGCTCATCACCAATCCGAGAGATTAGTAGAGAAAATTAGCTCACAATGTCAAAATAAAGTTTCTCGGTATGCCGCTGGAGTCACCTAAACTCCCACTAAACGATACTTCATCTACAAACGTTTGGAATCTAAGAAGTACCACCCAAGAAAAAAAACTGCTCTCCTCTTGAGAAAACTACAATCTTAAACCCAACACTTTTTTGAAAAACAGCTCTCGATAACCACACAAAGAATGTTTAGATCAAGGCAAATCAATCTTTTCAGATTCTAGGGTTAAAATTGGGGGAGCAGGCGATTGTGTGGAGGAAAGCCATCTGAAAATTTTCGTCCTGAAAATATTCTAGGAATTAGACCCTTCAGCCTCATCTATCAAACGTACACAAACGTACACATCCTTTAGTGTACAAACTTTAACTGGATTATCATCCAAAAATAAATTACTCAGATAGGTGACGGATAGAAAAACTTGCAAACCATGTCATCGAGCAATTGGAATTAAAAAAGTAAGACGTCGCTTTAGTAAACTCCGGTTGAAAGAAACCAGGAATCTCTAAAAGAAACATCGCATAACGTGTTGTACTTAAAATTTCTCAGCAGGCTTGTTTCCTTCAAAGGAGGAGAAAATTCGGACCCAGAAATAAGTCAAAAATTGCTATCTCGCCCTCATATTCAGGATCCAGAACTCACAGAGTGTCTCAAAAAACGGTACCCTTTTAGAAAAAGGACAATCCAAGCCGCAAGTACCGAATTCAACCATAACGACGGACGACATTTATACCCACAGTTTATTTAGCAGAGGACGAAACTTATAAACTACCTTTTTATCCTTCAAATATGAGCGGTTGGGAATGATCAATGGGAGGCTTCCCTTGAACAATCGTCGCTAGCGAGCGTTTTATCTCAAGTTTAGAAGTTCTGAACTCTCGAAAATCAATAAATTTGGTTGAACTAAGACCTATAATAATTGGGTATATTACCTGAGGAGAGTAGTACACCAATTGTTAGTAAGGGTAGTTTTAAGGGTTGAGTCAAAGGAGTTCCATGCAGTTGGGCATCAGTTGAGTAAGTACATGAAAAATAATACAATAGTAAATCAGGGATAAAACTAAGGTAAATATAATATCATAAATAGGGATATTATATTACATGGTACGGGGAATACTAAAAGGCGAACGTTAGAAAAAGGGGAACTGTTAATAAGGGGGTTATTCAGAAAAGTTGATATTAATCCCGAGTTTTCGTATAAATTGAAACATTATTTTACTCTGAAAGTTTGTCATTTCCTTGTAAGTCATGCTGTTTTTGAAAAGTTGAGAGAAACGAGTGAGTCAGCTTGGCTGTAATGTCAAAAGTCAAGTTGAGAGAAAGGTGACCTTAATTGTTTACAATTAACACCCGCCCACATTTGCAGAGCTTGCAAATAAAGTATTGAATAAAATAGTAAGGATACGGTAAAATACAAAGATAAGGGAACCAGTAGATAAGGGAACCAGAAATTGTTCTTTTTCATCTTCATCTTGGTTTGTCTATCGTTGAGCTGATTGTCTTAGTTAATTGACGAGTCGTAGATTTGTTCATCTTTGTCGAGTTGATATGTTGAAGGCTGAGTTGCGTGATTATTTGGTTGGTTAGCTATTTGGAGCTTGGTTACTGCGAAACTGGGAAAACGCGGCTCAATTTGACCACAGGTCGAACTTTGAATCCAGTTGGCGTTTTCAGCTTCACTGAGCGGACTATTCCATCTTGTCCAGGAAAGGTTTCCACCACTTTAGCAAGAGGCCACAGTCCACGAGGTGTAAAATCCTCCAACATCCAGACCATGTCGTCGGGTTGCAAATTGGAAGTCGCAGAAGTCCACTTTGATCGTTTCTGCTGACCTGGTAAGTACTCTCGAAGAAAGCGATTCCAGAAGTGATCTGCGAGTAGTTGGGATGCTTTCCATGATTTTGACAGAGATAAATCCTTGTCCTTGAAGATACCAGGCGGTAAATTTGGAGTTCCACGACCAAGAAGGAAATGGTTGGGAGTGAGAGGCAGATCATCTTTGATGTCGTCAGACACATTGGTTAAAGGTCGTGAATTCATGGTTGATTCAATTTCGGTCGTGAAAGTAGCCAGTGTTTCATAGGAGAGTGTTCTTGATCCGATGACTTTGTACAGGGAAAGTTTAAATATCTGAACTAGTCGTTCCCAAGAACCACCAAAATGAGGGGCCGCAGGAGGGTTGAATTTCCATTCGAGTGATACGTCCAGCTGATTGATGCTTTCCACAAATTCTTTGTTCTTTTCCAAGTTGTCTAGACATTTCTTCAGCTCAGAATTGGAGCCCACAAAACTTGTCCCACAATCAGAAACCATTTTCGATGGTTTTCCTCGCCGGGCAAAAAAGCGTCTGATACAAAGAAGAGTGCTGTCTGTCGATAGTCCTAATGAGATTTCAAGATGCACAGCTCTGATCACTAAGCATGTGAACAGTAAAATATACGCTTGGTTTTGTTTTCCTTGAAGGATGATGGGAAAAGGTCCAACGTAGTCCAATCCAGTCGTTGCAAAAGGAAAATGATTTTTTGATGGCAGTCGATAAATTGGAAGATCTGACATCTGAGGGTAGTCGACTTGTTGTTGCATTCTTCTGCAGGGTATACAACTGTGTATGATACTTTTCAGCATGACGCGGCAGCGAAGAATCCAGTAGTTTTCCTGTGCTATGGCCATTGCTTGTTCCTTTCCGCAGTGGGAATGTAGAACATGGATGTTAGCTAACAGCAGGCGAACATTGGGGTTTTCACCAGCGAGAATGATTGGATATCTAGCTGATAGCATGATAGGGGCACGCGTGAGACGTCCACGAGAACGCAGGATACCGAAGTTGTCCACAAACGGTGCTAATGTTCGAAGTCTACTTTTGCCTTCAATTGGTTTTTCTTTTTTGATGTCTGAAATTTCAGAGACAAAATCTGTCCTTTGGGCAGTTTTAATTATGAGAAAGTGCGATTTCGTTAGATGCAAGAGTTGAAGATCAACCTTCGACTGTTTGTTGATCTTCCGTTTGAGATTTTCTGCGAATAAGAAGCAGTATGCAACTGTCCGTATTAGTCTTTTCCAGTTGCTGAAGCGTTTGATGTCAAATATAGGCTCAAATTTAGCCTCTAATGAAGTAACGAATACAGGAATGTTCTCAAGCCGAATGTTTTCCTGTGAAGGCCATTGAGAAGAATCGTTCAACAGAAATTCCGGTCCTAGTAGCCACCGACAGCTTGAGGTCATTTCTAAAGCAATGTATCCTCTGGTACCGTCGTCAGCAGGATTTAGCAGAGTTGGAACGTGAAACCACTGTTCAGGTTTAGAAACGTCTAAAATTTTCTGAAGCCGATTAGCGACGAAAATTTTGTGTCGTATTTCAGGTGTTCGCAGCCAATACAAAACAGTAGTACTGTCAGACCAGAAATAAGTTTTTTCAACTTTGAGGTCAATTTCCTCTGAAACAAAGAGCGATAGTTGGGCAGCATATACTGCAGCTTGCAACTCGAGATTGGGAATTGTAACACGTTTCATAGGAGCGACTCTTGTCTTTCCTATTATAAACTTCAAAGATGTGGAGCCGTCGCTGTAGACTATTCTTAGGTAGCAAACAGCAGCGAGAGCGAATTCTGATGCATCACAAAACGTGTGAAGCTGGATTGAAGAAGGGTTTTCTTTATCAAAGAAGTTCCTTTGGAATGAAACAGTTTCGAAATTTTCCATTTCGTCTACCCAAAGTTTGAAATCGGGAAGTTTATCCGTGTCTAATGGAGTATCCCACTTAACACCTTGTGACCAAACAGATTGGAGAACTTTTCGAATCCGAATTGTCAATGGAGCCACTATTCCGAGTGGGTCAAATAAAGAAGCGGTATACTTCAGGAGTTTCCGTTGCGTAGCAATGCCAATACGTAGAATTTTACAAACTTTTTGTTATCGATGAAGTAGCAGTCAGTGTTGGTATTCCAGTGAACACCGAGAACTCGTTGATGTTTAGGCGTTGGATCATTAGGGCTGACTAAAATATTTGGATCAATTGAATCCAGGAATGGTTTACTGTTTGAGTTCCACTTATTCAAGTTGAACCCACCTCGAGATAAAGATCCTCGTAGTTGTGTCATTTGTTGGAGGGCTTCTTCTACCGTTGACGAAGTGACATACAAATCATCCATGTAGATATTCCGTTGAATGATTTCAGAAGCCAGAGGAAAGTCGTTTTTACTGTCTGATGCACATCGTCGTACTGCGTAGCAAGCCACGCATGGTGAGTCTGTGGCACCGAAAATGTGTCGTGTATATTCGTGAGTTTCTAATTTACCATTTTCTTTCCAAAGGTATCTTAGAAAAGGTCTATCCTTTGGGCTGACTAGCACTTGCATAAACATAGCATCTATGTCAGCAGATATTGCTATTTTATTTTGTCGAAAGCGAATTATGAGACCTGTTAAGTTGCACAAAAGATCGGGCCCTTTGAGCAAACTCGAGTTGAGGGATTTACCCTGAAAAATGCTGGAAGCATTTGAGACTCGTCTAACTTTGTCTGGTTTGTTGACATTTGTCACTGGATGATGCGGCAAATACCAAGATTTGATTGCAGTGTCATGTTTTGCATCTATTTTGGTGACAAAGCCTTTTTCTAAGTCAGTGATGACTGTTGCGCGGTATTTCTCCCTTAAATCAGGTTTACTTTTAAGGCGAAATTCGAGGCTGTTGAGTTGCTTTTCAGCTAGCCAACGGTTATTTGGAAGATCAGTATCCTCTTTCCAAAGAAGGTCAATTTGATAGTGACCATCTACTAAAGTACAAGAGTTTTCGAGAATATCGATTGCTCTTTTATCCGATTTGGAGTGCGAGCGTTTTGAAGAAGCGATGCCTGTGTTTTCTATTTTCATCCAGTTGAGAACTTTCTGGTATAATTTTTCATCTAAGTTATTGTGTGAATGAACTTGTGTGAAGTTCACCGGAACAGATGGAACGGAATTATTTTGCGTTTTGTTCCGACCTGTGCATGTCCATCCCAAAAGGGTTTCGATAGCCCAGGGAACATTCTTGGGGCCATAAACGGTATTTTTGATCTCATGATATTCTGGATTGTTGTTTCCGATGACTAGCGATATGCTATTGTCGTTTAAGTCCGGGTATTTAACATGCTTTAAATGTGGAAAATTGTTGCACATTGCGTTTAGTTGAAAAATATCAACTGGGGCCAAATTATTTTCATCTACCGTGAGTACATCATCGAGCGTCATTGGAGTCGATGTGCTTTTGTATGGTCTAATTTGTACATCCACAGATGTAACTTGAACTGACTTGGTCTCATGATATCCAGATATGGGAAGTGAGTGCTTCTTGTTGACGTCCAAGCCTAGTTGAGTTGCCACTGAGTCCAGTAGTAGAGTTACGCAGCTACCACTATCTAAGAAAGCGTAGGTACAAAGTGTTTTATCACCATTTGATAATTCGATTGGTACAAAAGCTGATTGACCTGATCTCTGACAAGCTATTGCGCGATTCACTGCAGCTTTACTAGGGTTTTTTCCATAAGTATCAGAAGGATCGTGGAGTAGAGTGTGGTGTTTTTTACCACAATTATCGGTTCGACAGAGCGATTTCGAATTGCAGTCAGTAAACCTATGATTCCCTAGACAGTTAAAGCATAAGTGCATTTTTCGGGCATGCTCTTTTCGTTGCTTAGGGTCTAAAGCTTTGAAGTGCTCGCATTTGTAGAGAGGTCCACAGGTGTCTCCACTAGGACAAGCATTCGAGTTTACATTATTCTGAGCACGAGAGTTTTGTTGATCTCCCTGATGGTTAAAGCGCTGATTTTGATTTCCTACACCATTTGTAGTAAAACCATTAAAACGGGAACCACTAGGGTGTTTAGCGTTTCCAGAAGAATTGTTAAAATTGTTATTGTTTTGGTTTCGGAAACCTGTCGGAGGCATGTCGCGACACGCCTGTGCGTACCGTTGAAACCATTGTGCTAGATGTCTCAAGGAGGGTTGATCGTAGTCTTTGTCGATGACGAAGCGATTCCATTCTAATCTCACAGGGTCGGGAAGCTTTGCCAGAGCAGTGTTCAAGTTTGTTGTAAAACAAATATCGTGAACAAAACCAAGTTGCTCAAAAGTGTCCACTAAAGTTAGGAGAAAAGCAGAAAACTGCATGTATGATTCTGGTTGAGCCAGATTTGGAGGTTTGAAATTTGCAAGACGTTGCAAAAAAGAGTTGACAATTCTATTGGTATTGCCAAAGTTTTCACGAAGACGTTGTAGTGCTAGTTCGTATGTGTCGCCGTTTGCACCATAACCAGCTATCATTAGTTTAGCTGGGCCAGTTACCAATGATTGAAGATGGATCATCTTTTCAGTTGGAGACATATTAGAATTATGAATCGATGATACGAATACACCATACCAGTGCAACCAATAGTTGGGATTGCCATTGAAAATTGTAGGCTTCAGTTTTGGCACTGATCGACTGAATGTAGTAGAAGTGTCGCTTGAATTAGTTGCCAAAGCTCGATTGTTGTTGTTAGGAGGGTTTGCAGCACTAGCTTGTTGTGAGCTGTGGTTAGGAACATCACTAGCAAATGGATTTGAAAATGATTGGTCGCCTTGAAATGGCGCCGAAAGGTTGTCGTCAGCGGCAGCTGTTCTTGCATTGCCTTGAGTATTGTTGCTCATGGTTATAAGGTTGTTGTTTGGTATATCCATTATGTTTGCAGTCGGCATGGAGGTTGCGGTTTCCTGTGGGAAAATTGAAGTAGCATTTTCTTGAGCGCTGTTATTTGGAATTGTAGAAGTAGCAGGATTTGATACTTGTTTTTTCAAATATTTTTTCACTTTCATTGAAAATACTCGGATTTTCTGTTTCAACTGTACTGTCCAGTGAGAATGTTCTTCAAAATCGTGTTCAGAACCAGCCTGTAACATTTGATCGTTCAGGGTATCAAGTTTTTGTTGGAATTGAGACAATTCAGTGAACGTTTCATTGATGAGTTCAAGATCATCTTCTTCCTCGTAGATGTTGTTTTCGAGCATGTCGATCAAAGTATTGATCTCCATTTCGTGATGACGTCGAAGCGAAACCAGTTTTCGAACGCCAGTCTCTTGAACGTTTTGATTGGTATCTTGCGTTTGGGTACCATTTTGTTCCGAAGGATCGCTGTCATTGTTTTGCGTCGTTTTATTTCTACCGGATGGGGCCATACCTTGAACCAGGAGACGTAAACCAATACCTACCAACTTATACCAGTATATGAATTTACCTTTACCAACCTACCAACTTATACCGAATACCACCGATGCTCGTAAGAAGGAGCGAAATAATGGATAAAGTTTAACCAATTACCACTGTACCTTAAAACTTGTACCTACCTCCGAGGGAAAATTGAGCGGTCGTTCAAAGTGTCCTCGGTATTAACAATTAACTGCGATTTTAAAGCTAGTCCAAGAACCTACCTGGTCCTACCAGCCTACCGACCCTACCTACCTACCAATTACCAGTATAAACGGCAAAAAAAACCGGGTGCAAAGATTAGCACCAATGAGTGTTGACCTCCCAGAGGACAACTGAGGATGACGTATTTACCTACCTACCTGTCGCTATTTAGCAGACGACCGAATTGTGATTGCTGACCTCCCAGAGGACAACTAAAGTTGATGTACCTGTTTACCTACCTGTCCTAATACCGTAGATTTATCCCTGTGCAATAAAATTTGCACTTATACCAGTTGACCTCCCAGAGGACAACTTGCCTTTATCGCTGTAGCGTAGCGAATGAGACGAACTAGAGTTGTTCGAAGCAGTTGATGAGCTAAACGAAGCTCGAATGTAGCCACGAACCCAGTGAGGCTCGAAGCAGCAGAGGAAATGAGCTCAGGTAAAGCTCGACAGGAAGCAGCCAAGAACCGAGGGGCTCAAAGCAGAAAATAAGGTGAGCTAAGACGAAGCTCGAATGTAGCCACGAACCCAGTGAGGCTCGAAGCAGCAGAGGAATGAGCTCAGGTAAAGCTCGACAGGAAGCAGCCAAGAACCGAGAGGCTCAAAGCAGAAAATAAGGTGAGCTAAGACGAAGCTCGAATGTAGCCACGAACCCAGTGAGGCTCGAAGCAGCAGAGGAAATGAGCTCAGGTAAAGCTCGACAGGAAGCAGCCAAGAACCGAGAGGCTCAAAGCAGAAAATAAGGTGAGCTAAGACGAAGCTGGAATGTAGCCACGAACCCAGTGAGGCTCGAAGCAGCAGAGGAAATGAGCTCAGGTAAAGCTCGACAGGAAGCAGCCAAGAACCGAGAGGCTCAAAGCAGAAAATAAGGTGAGCTAAGACGAAGCTCGAGTGTAGCCACGAACCCAGTGAGGCTCGAAGCAGCAGAGGAAATGAGCTCAGGTAAAGCTCGACAGGAAGCAGCCAAGAACCGAGAGGCTCAAAGGAGAAAATAAGGTGAGCTAAGACGAAGCTCGAATGTAGCCACGAACCCAGTGAGGCTCGAAGCAGCAGAGGAAATGAGCTCAGGTAAAGCTCGACAGGAAGTAGCCAAGAACCGAGAGGCTCAAAGCAGAAAATAAGGTGAGTTAAGACGAAGCTCGAATGTAGCCACGAACCCAGTGAGGCTCGAAGCAAGCGGAATAAGTGAGTTCAGATAAAGCTCAAACAAATGTCATGTCGAAGAACAATGACGAAAATTGAGAGTCCAAAAAGAACTCGAATCAGGTAACCAAGGAGTCGGGCAATAAGAAAGCAAAAGTGTCAGAAAACACTTGAAGGAAGGAAGCAATGAAGGAAGCAAAGGGCCAAGAAAGGCTCGGAAGGAATATACAAGGCGTCAGATAAGACTCGGAAGGAATGAATGAATGAGTAGGGAAAGACTCGGAAACGAACAACAAATGGGTCGAGAAAGACTCGGAAAGGAATGAAACATTGAGTCAGAAAAGACTCGGAAAGGAACGCAAAAGGCAATAAAGACTCTGAACGGAATGAAAAATGAGTCGGGAAAACTGAAGTTTTTTCATAAATGAGTCACAAAAGACTCGGAATAGCAAAGCAACAAAAAACGAATTGAAAGGGGAAAATTGATGAAAATAACTTAATACATTATTCAAAGTAAATGAAGCTATGAACAATTGAAACGTTTAAAGTTTACATGGGTTAGAAATCAAGAGCAATAATTTATCTTTTTTTTTTTTTAAATGTAAATCAAATAAACTGCGATTAACTGTAAATAAATGAAATAATATTGTAATGGGGAAGTATTATAACAAGATATAATAAACCGCAGACGTAAAAACTGGGGAGGAAAAACAGTAACTAACCATAAATTTTTGGTTGTGGGGGAATAAAAAACACAGTGTAACGAGCTAATCAAAACTTTTTCGGGCGCCAATATAATAATTGGGTATATTACCTGAGGAGAGTAGTACACCAATTGTTAGTAAGGGTAGTTTTAAGGGTTGAGTCAAAGGAGTTCCATGCAGTTGGGCATCAGTTGAGTAAGTACATGAAAAATAATACAATAGTAAATCAGGGATAAAACTAAGGTAAATATAATATCATAAATAGGGATATTATATTACATGGTACGGGGAATACTAAAAGGCGAACGTTAGAAAAAGGGGAACTGTTAATAAGGGGGTTATTCAGAAAAGTTGATATTAATCCCGAGTTTTCGTATAAATTGAAACATTATTTTACTCTGAAAGTTTGTCATTTCCTTGTAAGTCATGCTGTTTTTGAAAAGTTGAGAGAAACGAGTGAGTCAGCTTGGCTGTAATGTCAAAAGTCAAGTTGAGAGAAAGGTGACCTTAATTGTTTACAATTAACAAGACCACTAATTCGGATAGTAAAATAGAAATTTTAAACATAGGAGAT